TATATTCTCCTCCCTCGTCCTCGTTTTTCGTTTCGCGCGTGCTGTAACAACGCTTCCAGGTCTGCGCGTTGTGCGCGCCTACACTGCTTACGTGCTATCACGTAAAACTATCACGGAGGAGCAGCATTTTATTCGACTCGATCGTTGCGTTTACGCTCGGATAAGGAAAATTTTTCTCCGACAAGCAGGTCGGACTTGATCCAGCAGCGGGTTCAGCGGCTGTTAACAACGGTTGGCGTCTAGTAAAAAGCGCATGTGAGATATTCGCACTTCCCACTTCGTTCGCACACGTTGAACGTTTCACGTTTCACGAGCGTTTGCGTGTCCCTCTTGAGCCTGTGTCAAAATGCCTCGTAACTTTCGAACGTTGATCGTGCATGAAAGTCTCTCCGACTTGTCCGTGTCGCCAACGGCGATGATTCGAGCGACGTAATTTGCAATCGCGGAAGAAGACGGTGGAAAAATCGGGGAGTGGGACACTGATTGGATTACATTAATTTATTATCGAAAGCTTAGACTCGGGGTATAGCTTTGCGAACATTGCTGATTGCGTTGATCGTTCGTGCTTTCGCACGTGCGCGCAAATTCCAACTTGCGAGCAGATCGACAGTCGACAGTCGGCAAACAAATTGATTATTACCTTCTTTTTACCTTCTTATTTTCCAATTCAGGAATGCAAACGCAAGGAGGTTGCAAACGCTTGCGAGGTTAAAATTGGACGCGTACGCAAACGTTACTGGTCACTCTTTTTGCGATAATACAATAAATACATATTTACTATCGACGAGGTGAGATTGCAGGATGTAGGATGTGATCTCTAAAGAGATCTAATGTAGATCAAAGAGCCCCCCCCCCCCGTTCGTCACATGGGATGCACGATAGACGGCATCCGACCCTATTGTCGTACTACGAACTATTCGAGCCTTCGTTCGTTTATTCGTTCGTGACCTGTCTTTCTGTGAGAAAGAAACACGATTCGATCGAGAAAGTGTCATCTCGCAGAAAATGAAGCAGAAAAATCCGACAATTTAAGGAAAGGGACGCCTCTCGTCGAGGCGATCTCATTGTGTATCTTAAAATTCTTGCGAATAATTATTATTCACAAAGTGGGTATATAAAACATCTGCGAGAAGCAACGTCGCGGCCGTCGACGATACTGACGTATAGTCATGAACTTAAGTCCGATATTTCCAGTGATGGACAGTTCAATGCGTCATTGCACAATGAACAATGAATGGGCTTGGCTGGAATGGGCTACATGATAACTAACTCGGGAGGGAAACTCGGCGAGGATACACACAAGGATCGTGATCGTGTCGTCGATGGACGCACGGGATATCGGTATCGTCGGTCCGCGGCCCGCGGCCGCAGTCGGGAGCAGCAGGGCTGCTGGACCGGGGATTCGGCGCCTACCAGGGACCGAAAATTTCCTCGATGAATATCGACAAAGATTTTATATTAATAGCAATAAAGCAACTACAAGTAAGTAGTAAGAGACGTCTGTGCTGAGAGATGGATGATGTAACGGCGTTCGCCGTTGCGGACACGTCTTAAAACTTTTTTCACTTGGATTATGATAGCCCGGTGATACTGCGCGAGCTGCGCAAAGACACTCAGCTTGTAAAAATGCAGTACGCGCGATGCAGCTTGATCATGTTATAACGGGATCGCTTGTACAACAGATGCAACAGACGCTCGAAGGCTCGATAGCTTCTTCAAGAAGGAAGAAAGTCGAATTTTTCTCTACGATTGCGTACGTACTACGTATGTAAGACACAATCCTCCGAGATAGTAACAAAGTAACAAGGGAGAAAAAAGAAACAAAAGAGGTGTTGCACGCGTCGCGTGTAAGACAAAGTTTCTAAAGATTGAAGGGCGTGCGTGTTGCCCGTTATCCAGAGCTTGTTCCTGTTCTCTCGGCTCTCGGCCAGCGAGCGGTCCAACACATTGCTCGCGCATGGAGCCTACCTACTCGATTTGTTCAGGTTCAGATTCAGGTTTATCGTGACGCGCACATTCTCCATACTTTCGTAATGACCGAGGCGGATTCAGCGAGCGACGGCGGGAATATTTGCGTCGAAAAGTCGTGGCCGCGATGGTTTTATCCACGAGAAAGAAGAGGCGCGTTATAAAGCGCGCTCTCCCTCCCTCTCTCTCTCTCTCTCTCTCCCTCCCTCTCTCTCTCTCTCTCTCTCTCTCTCTCTCTCTCTCTCTCTTTCGCCAGTACACGTGCATGCGTGCGCGCCGTATATATATTTTTGCACAGTGCTATTGCGATGTGCGTGCGTCTAGCACCGCGTGCCGAGAAAAGTGGTTAACTGTACGTGTACAGAGAGAGAGAGAGAGAGAGAGAGAGAGAGAGAGAGAGAGAGAGAGAGAGAGCGCGCGCGCGCGGTATTCGGCTGCAGCAGCTGTGCATCATCCAACTATACGCGCTGAGTCAGTTATGTGTAACAGTGACTGAAGCCTGTCAGGAGGCTTTTAGTTTAGTAACGGTGTGGCGCGTCATGTGGCTGACAGATCGCGCGCGCGACGAATTTAATAATGGAGTCAGGGCACGGTGTTGTTCACGGAGTAGAACACGAAAGTGAGCTAGCAACAGAGAGCTAGAGACGTCACGAGATCTTTTCTCACGAAACCGCCGCGAACCAAAGATTAAGAGAGAAAAGGTAAACGTGATAAAAAACAAAGAAAAAAATTGACGTGATAAAAATAAAAAAAGAAACAAGTTTTCCTCTCAAGCTTCATCAAGCTTTGAAATCGTTACGTAAGTGGATCGTACACAACTCGTTCAAGATTATTATCTCAATCCGTCACTCGCGTTCTCGCTCTCGCTCTCGCTCTCGCTCTCGCTCTCGCGAGATCCTATCGCAGCAGAGCGAGCTTCTTCTCTCCACCGGAGGAGACGGAGGAGAAAATAATTTCAGCGACCGGTGGAACGGCCTGAAAAAAGTGCAATGTGCAAGAATAATAAGGAATCTCTTTTCTCCCGATTTCGATTTTTACACTTGCAAAGTCGCTGAAGAATTACACTAGAGCCTTACCGCCATACAGAGGCGGTACAATAGCAGACGATTGTTACATCACACCGTAACGTGCGTAGTATACTCTTGTTTAATCTCAGCGGAACTTTGACTCATCGTCTCTTGTGCGTCGTACGCACAAGAGCTTTCCAATTCTATCATACAGACATCTACTTACATCTGCGCTCAAACGATAGACACGCTGCCGCGTGTCTACGATATAGTGTAAACGGCACCAGTGACCAGCGTAAAAAGCGGCCGGCTAGCCAAGCAGGAAACGAACGCGAGCAGAGTGTGAAAATCTTTCGATGACAACGACGAGATCACGGCGTAAATACCCCGGAGTGGAGTAAGTGGCGCGATAAAAGGCATAAAAATGGTGAAAGTCGCGCGCACAGTGCCGTTCGTAATTTATGTGATACGCTGATTGTGAGCCACACAGCCAGGAGTTGCGCGCGCAGCGGCTGCGAGTCGCGAAGAATGCATACCATACCATCGGACGAAGGTGCGCAACGAAAGGTCTCTCGAAAGAAAGCAACAACGGACCGGAATATTGTCTAGAAAGCGGCCTGCGCGCGCGTCACTTGTCTCGCGAAACCCGAACAATGGCGTGGCGTGATCCGTTAACACCACCTCGTGTGTGTCTGGATTTCAACGTCCCGAGACATTGAATTGCTAATATACGTAACGCAAACTCCCGTTTGTCGAGTTGAAACGAAGAGGCAAGGAGGGCAGAGGGGAAAAAAAAACTCGCGCGTATTTGCGCAGGTAGGTATTTGCCGCAGCGTGCGGATATAGAAGGATACGGGGGAACGACTGTGGCTCGGAGTGATGGCTCGGACTGTGTTCGGAATCGGAGATGTGTACGCGTCCGCGTCATCCGCTTCTGCATCTCAAGAAAATTGTCTCAGCGCCCACGACACGCTGCGACACGCACGTTCTCGAAGCGAAATCTCAAGTGTCTCATCCGGTCACCGATTAACCTAAACGGACTAAACGCGTTCGAGTTTTACACACTAGCACAAATGGAACTTTCAAGACGAAGCAGAGATTGACCGAGTGTTGCGACTCGAGCGAGAGACAGACGAGAGAGAGAGAGAGAGAGAGAGAGAGAGAGAGAGAGAGAGAGAGAGAACAGGTGCGGCACACAAGCACGGCTTCTAAACGAACGAGCGTTGATCCATCGACTCATGAGCCATACCCGACTCACGTACATGCGTTGATGCGTATGCATACTCAATGTACCATCTACCGCTATTCGGGTCCTTTTTGCCGGACAATACCGTAAGACGCGTGTGTGTGTCGCCCCGCATACGAATGCACGCGTCTCGACACACTTATGTATCCGATTCGAATTGATTCTACGCTCGATCAAACGCCTGTTTGTCTGTTTGCCTGTTCCATTAAACCTATTCCATTACAATTGACAAATGGGCCATAGATGATGAAAGTAATCCGCGGTTGATGTTGATCTGAGCCGAGTCGAAATCTTTCAATTGTGTTGGCAAGACAAAATGTGTATGTGCGCGCCCTAGTGCATAATTTGCGAGCTAATTCAATCTAACGCGAGAGTACATGTGGGGACATGCGGTTGACTGTTGTTCCATTGCGATTTACTTGCATTGATTGCAAGATGATGTTAGTTGCAAACTAGCATCAATTAAATTAATCATACTTTATGAGTAACTTAATGAGATGCGATGGTAGAATCACACACACACACACACACACACAATGCCATCATCGGAGAAGATTGTGAAATTCAACGTAAACTACAACGTACCGTACCACTACGTTGTATATTCCAACGTTGTATATTCCAGTTATTATTAAAACAACTGTTGCGGAAAGCAATAATTTGGCCTTGGTTATTTTTAAAAGGAAAGAATGAAAGATGTGACATGCAACAGTCGAGACAACTTTTCTCTCTCTCTCTCTCTCTCTCTCTCTCTCTCTCTCTCTCTCTCTCTCTCTCACCCTTATCCTTTATTGGTGGTGTGGTGGTTGAGACCGCGGATGCCGTATCCGGCACATCTATCGGTCGTTCCTCTCCTTTAGACGACGTCCCACCGATACGTCCCGACTTTCCCATTCTCATCGGCGATTCTCGCTCGTTCTTCCAATTGTCACTCTCCCTGTCTTCATTCTCCATTTTCGTCTCCACGAAGTCCTCGAGACCTGGCGGGTCTCGAATCTCGGGTACCACCAAGGTCTCCTCGTCGTCTGATTCTCTGATTCTCCATTTGGCTCTCGAACTACGATATCGATCGTCTACATTCTCGTCTACATCTACCGTCTCCTCAACCAATTCTTCCTCCTGAAGCATGTACTCCCGCCTCTCGTTGGGGTTCCTGTACACCCTGTAGGGCCCAACCAGACCCACCACCCCTTTGGGCAACGTTACCGAAGCAACCTCCCCCCGATCCACGTGCCACGTTGGATTCTCCGGATAGTCCGGTACCGTGCGATCGGTATCGTGCATGATCGCCGGTCGCATGTCGCGGAGCCACTTTTTCACCTCGACTCGCTTTGACTTTGACGCGTCTTCAGGATCTTCGGCGTCTTCGGCGGGCTTTGCTTTCTCGCTGGGATCCGCGTTCCCGATTCGGGTCGGGTGATGGACAGGTCGAATCGCTGTCTCTTGGTCGGTGGACGAAGCGATTTCCGGCAATCGCACCTTCTTGGGCTTTCTCACCACGCTGTAGAGAGCGGTCGCGTCCTCAACTTCGTGCGGTGACGACTCGCCGTTTCGTCCGGGTAACCGGACATACGGCAGCACCCGCTGCCTCTCGTCCTCTCCGAGAGTTTCCGATTTTGGTCTCTCCCGTCGCGACTCCTCGTCCCCCTTCTTCACCGCTCTGATTATCACGACCTTGCCGAGGAGGGCTGTCGGAGGGCTCCGCGGGAGGAGGACGGCTTCGTTGCAGCCCAGGACACTGTAGATCGGCTCGCGCGTCGCTGTTTCGATCCACTTGGGTCGCCCGCGCTGTTTCGACAAAGTGCCGGCAAGTGCCGTCGGGGATGCTCCTCCGTCGATCGTCAACGTGGAAATGCCAGCGAGCTCGGCTACCATCCTGATGTGAATTTGTTCGTTCAACGGGCCCACCGGATGTCACGCACCGATCGTGACCAAGTGGACGAGATCGGAGTACCGTACCGTACCGTACCGTGGTATCGTGTCGTACTCGTGTCGTATCGTCCGTCGACGCGACGCGACGCGACGCGACGCGAGATGGTTAATCGAGATGCGTTGCAAGAAAAGATGATTCGCGGCAAAGGATGTGAAAGTAAGTGTGCGTTCGGGATTCTTCTGGCGAATCAAGTTTGGAGGTAGTTTCTCGTCAGAGTTCAACATAGTTCACATAGTTAAACATTTAAACGTAAATTAAAAAACGGAAATTAATGAATCGCGTCTCGATGAGTCGCGGCGTCCCGCTTCACGTTTCAGACGATTCAGACGACGGGAGCGCGACGGGAGCGTGATGGAACGTGGTAGATCAGATGAATAATTTTACAATAATCGTGGCCACTTTTTTCGTCGTCGACTACCGAAGAATGTCTCTTTCCTCGAGAGAGGGAAAATCTCGTTGCTTACCTTCAACAAACTCTTGAAGAGTACCAAATTTAATCAGTCGTCGACCTCGATGTTGAAAAGTACGCACCAATCTGAAATCACGCGCGCGCGCGGATAAATCTTCGAGTTTCACGAAACGCAAATATCACCTTTCTTCACTCGAACGTCCCGAATTGAGCGTTTTGACTCACTCTCTCTCTCTCTCTCTCTCTCTCTCTCTCTCAACGTTTCAATTTTCTGTCAATGTCGAGCGCGTCGTCGAGTGCGCACTTGCTCGCACGCAAAAGGCAAATGGCTCGCACTCGGTGATTTTAGTTTTACGAGGAACAACACCCACATGCTGTCGCGCGGCGTGGTGGCCAGAGAGGTCGATGAGATGGATGTGGTTCTCCTTCGTGACCAGGTTGGACGAAAAAGAGAGCTCTGTATGTACTACATTCCTCTCGCGACGCGACGCCACACATTTTCTCCCAATACGTCTCTCGCTCAACGTTGTCCGGCCGATTAATCTTTAATCTTGTCTTCTTCAGCAGCGAAATTGTTTCTTCGCGAGCTCTCTTCGCAAGCTCTATCGCGAATCTATTGCGAACGGAAATAAAAAAGAAGCGCGGCTACATCTCTGGCGGACAATCTCTCTCTTGAGAAATTTCAACTGATAGGGCTGATAGGACGTATTGCGATCGTATTGATTCCTCGCAATCTTCCTCAAGACTCTTTAAGTTATTCTGCAGCGATCATCATGTTTGTTATCGACATTTTGTTTCCGACTTTGTATATTATTTCGCGATGAGAGTAAGTAAAAAATCAGTTTTTCTTTCGTTCTTTAGGACACGTTCCGTTTTCACGCGTCTCTGCCTTTCACGCGACTGTGTTATTTACTTCCTTCGCTCGTTCTCGCCCGATCAAAGTTCAAGCAGAATGATGATCGGAACGTCCCCGTGACCCGTGACTGTGTGTGTTCGTAGCCAGAATTATTATTGCGTAGATCGAGAGAGACGAAATCGTTTTACGAGCCTTCTTGAAATTGATCATGCAAGCTTTCTCAAGCTTGCCAAAGAGAAGCTTTAGGCTTGGATATTAGTCGACTAAAGACACCGAAGACGCTGGAAGAGGTCATAAAAGCGTCATCATCCGCGTCAGCTGTGCACGGACTCCCTCGACGGTTTCCCTCGAGATATTGTATTATTGGCGCGCGCGCGCGCGCGCACACAGTAATCGCGGTCGGCAGGATAATCGATCGGCTGTCGTTACCGTGAAATTGCGGATAATGGGTGGTGACCGTTAGACTCACCAACTTGCCCGTTACGACAAGAGGCGATCCGCCGTGCAAGAGCCGTGCATTTTTTGACACGAGCGCGTAGATCGACGACACAGCACGTAGATATTTTTCCGGAGGATGGGGAGGATAAGACGAGAGAGGATAAGAGAGATGTACAGACATGACCCTGCCGTGCGATAAACTCTGCCAAGTCGTTCACCGTACCGCAGCAGTTTATCGCGGTGTTTTGTGATCTATGATCCATGATCATCATCATTATGATTATCATCAGCGAAACAACCGTCTTTCTTTGTCGCACGTGATCGCGGATCACATGCGAGAAGGAGCGAATGCATTATTCTCATCTCTACATCTCTACATCTCTACACGTGTACTGCCGCACACGCTGACTATATTCGCAGGTGCGATCGGCAATCGGTGTGTCGATATCTCGTCGTTGATCACGTTCAAGCTTTCTTGACGCTTTCTTCTTGACGCGTCGTCATCGTCGTCGAAGGAACATCGAATCCAAGCAGAATTCTCTAAATCACTGGACTGGAATCTCCAGGTCCGGTCTTGCTTTCTTTTCACTTTTCCCTTTTCATCGTTTCCTTTGTTAATCATCCACCGTCAAGGTGGCTCCTATCAAAGGAATTTCTTCTCCACCTTCAAGATATAAAGAAACGATGAACAATTATCGTATGGCCGCGCTTCGTATATAGCCACATCTTTCGAGATTCTCTTTTTCCTCTTTCCTCTCTCCAAACAACCTTTTTCGCCTGTTTTTCGCGTCCCGCGTTATGTTTCCTTCAATCAAATCCTAAGTTATTCACACTTTCGCGCCTTTCGCGCCAAAGCGATTATATATTGTTGTGCCCACACCTTTGGGGAACGTATTGTTCCCACGCTCTTGGGAGAAGACTGTGAAGAAGGCATATAGAGAGTGTTTGACAGCCGTTATCGTTGTCAAGGAATTTGTTTACTAACTACTGGAATAATAAGAGAGTCGCTCTAGTCCTGTCACAGCGTACGGACGTAAAGCGAATTCGTGCGATTATTTTGGAATTGATTAAGATCCGTTTTTCTTGGCTGTAAATAAAGCTTTTCTCGTTTAGTATATCCCGAGTTATTTCTTTCACGCGCGGGCACAACAATATATAGGCTATATATATAGGCTATATCGAAAACGAGGACAAATTCACGCGCTCTTTCGAACAACGTTTGTCGTTGAAAGTGTTTGTCGTGATCGAGGAGAGGAAGAAGATAGACAGAAGAGAAGGGATCGTCAAAACAACGTCGAAACAACGCGAGGCTGCCATGCTCCTCCTGCTCTCTCCTCCTCGTTAATTTTAGTACTCGTTCCGCCGTCTGGCTCACAAAGACGACGTAGTTTGCGTACGCGGTAGTAATATATAGTAATATATAGGGCCAAGAAGAGCGAACAGTGAGCCATCATCACCACCACAGTGAGAAGCAACCCACTTTAGTTCGCACATCGGTCGATCAGTCCTACATTAACATCGGGATCTCCTCCTAAACAGCGTCTACGATTCGATGATGCGTGTACATTCTCTCGCAGTTTTAGCTCTTTGTTGCAGCTCTTGTGTCCTGCAATGAGCGAGCCGTAAGCAAGGCTAAGAGCTTCCACACGAGATAAGAAAAGTACAACTATGGCAGCAACAAATAGCAAATTTTTCAAATCGATATCGAGATTGGAATTTTCATAAGCGACACTCACTCAGTAATGTAATCGATAGAATTCGCGCGATTTGCCAACAACTGCTTCACCTGTGTGTGTTCGAGATCGAGCGTCCGTTCTAGCGCTCGTCTTATCTGATCTCGAGTCTTCTTCCCTCTTTGAGTGAGGGGATCACCTCGCGATCCGCAATCTGCAATTCGCAATCTCGTTGTTACCTGACGAAATATCCTGGTGAAATGAAGTTTTCTTTGATATCCTCGTTTCTTCGACCTGGGGAGGGAGGAAGTCGCCTCTTGCTTCATAGACAACGGCTGTTGGGAAACTCACAGACGCGTGATCGTTTGCAACAGCCCGCAGCTTCTATTTCCGATCCGGATTCGGAATACGAAGGCGAACCTCTTTTTCGCGCTTTCTCTCTCTCTCTCTCTCTCTCTCTCTCTCTCTCTCTCTCTCTCTCTCTCTCTCTCTCTCTGCAGAACGACGTGGCTGATGCAGGGCAACTCGTTTACCGATGAGGAGGCAACGTCGCGGATCATTCAACTGGACACACACGAGACATACTTCCCGGTAAACACCAGAGAGCGGAGATATCTTACAGAGCGCGAATCGGCAAGCTCATCAGCTGCGCGTGATCGCTGCCGCCGTTCACCAACATGGTCATATCCGCGTGGTGGAGGGCGGCTAACGCGGAAAAACGAGGAAGATCCGCATCCGTTGCACCACACAAGACGGTAGACCGGACGTCTTCTTCGTCCTCGTGCAGGCCGTCAAGAGGAAAAGAGGAAAGCTGTGTCTGTCGAAGAAAACGTCGCGAGGAGCACGAGACTGAGCATCATCCACGAGAATCTATTAGAAACTGGACTGTGGAAGAGGCTCCGAGACTCCCTGCGCAATGTCTCTGGAAGCTTTTTCCCGTAATCCCGTAATCTCCCATGATATTCACCACGTCACCTGTTTTCATCTTCTTGGGGTGTTTTCGGGAGAGAAACGACTCTGAAAGTAAAGTGAGTGTATCCAGGTGTGTGTGGATGAGAGAAATTCCTCCTTTGGAATACGCCTCTCGCCTTTCACATGTCGAATCGTCCGCCGTCGTCGTCGTCGACGTCGAAGATTTCACGTCGCAAAATGCAGCGCTTTTTCGACAGCTTTTTGGCAGGATTAGATCTCTTCTCATATAATCATCGTGAAAATGATCTCTTTCGTTCGCTCCTTCACCACACCACGATAGGCTGGTTTTTACGTCGCACGTTTCGCATTCTCTCTCGACGTTCCTCTATTCGACGCTCTCTATGTGTCTCTCAATTGATCCAACCTATTTTTCTATTCCATTCTATTCTCGTCAAATTTCGGGCAAGACCCATCAAGGGTGCGCAAGGTGTCCAGCCCTTTGTTGTTTCCCGATGTTTTGACTCGCTGACAAGTTCTTTTACCTTTTACCCGATTCGTTTTATTCTTAAATCAATAACGATTGTTTCATCATTAACGATCTTTCTTTTCCATACCTAGGATTATGTTGGATTATGTTGGTTCGTCGAGAAATCGAGAACACTCTGATATACGGTAACGAACAACTGACACAAACGGATCATTCGTTCCTTCGATCTCGCCGAGACACTGCCGTTAGTTTTCTCGTTCCACCTGCTGTACCGCTGCTATACCGTTGCGATACTTGCCGCGCTAGCTAGCGCAAGTCCAGTTGGCGTTAATTGTGTAAAGTAGATCGCAATTTGTGTAACTTATAAGCGCCAGTGGCGATTACACATTTTGCTGAGAAGAGATTTAATAATTTATCACGCCGCAACGAATCACGCCGTACCTCCCTCCTCTCCCTCTCTCTCTCTCTCTCTCTCTCTCTCTCTCTCTCTCTCTCTCTCTCTCTCTCTCTCTCTCTCTCTCTCTCTCTCTCTCTCTCGATATCAATTACATTTATTAGTTTCACACGTTGCGTGAACATCTGACCGTAATTCTTCTTTGCGAATCCTTCATTCCTCCATGGAATCATACACGTTGATCAAACGTGTACTGATGACGCGAAGCGACGGTGATTTCCGTCGGCGAAATGTTTGCGCGGCGTTTGCGGTTTAAACGAGTTTAAACGACTCGCATCGCGCGTACGATCACGCACGAACGATCGCGGGCTGTTTCGAAAACAAAAGTTGGAAACAAGAGCCGTGAGCAGACTCCGTATCACGACTTAAGAACACGGTGCGTGTCCGATCATTTTCACTTCCGTAGAAAAGGGAAAAGGGAAAGCGGCGCCGTTGTCTCAGAACAAGAGACTGTATCATGACAGCGAAATGACTCTTTGTTGTTCGTCAGAAACTTTTGCTGACTAAACGCGCGACATGTCCCTGAACGTTGGAAAACACCAATTCTTTTTCGCGCCTAAAGCGCGTCCATTCGCTAAAGGCCAAACTTCACGAAGGTTTTTCAAGTTTCTGAGGTTCAGGCACACACGATTCAATATATATTTTCTTTTCGGGGATTCAGGCTCTCTTTTAATTTGACAATTAATTTAATTCATATTCCTTATAGTCCCATCTCTCTCCTCTTTTCCCTTCCTCTTATACTTTTAATTGATAATCGATGAGATATAGTGAATAAATTTGATAAAATCTGCAGGATCACACACACACACACACACGCACGCTCAATTTTCACAAAAGATCCTATTATTACTAGTCGATTGTTGAATAAAATGCGAGTAAATGGAAAAAAGAGCATTTTCTGTGACAATTGACAAATGAGACAAATCCTACCTGATGACTTGCCGGGGTTAGATTCTTCGATCGGCTGAAGAGTCCGCGACATCGTCGTCTTCGAGGAAGATTTCGCTCTTCAACGTAAAACAAACGGGCCGTACGGTACAGTGTCGGCGGATCCTGATTGAATACGCTCGTCGAAAATCACACCGATGTGCATTAAATGTGCAACGAGTTCCGTCTTCAAGTCCAATAAACTCGTCTTGGCTGTATTTTTATCGGCTGTACGTCACATCTTCCGCCAGCGTACATTAGCCACCTCTGTTAATTACTCGATGCTATTTAGAAAGCGATTCGAATGCGAATGCGATCGTGGATAAGGTTGCGTATTGGATAAGATCCAAAAGGGCAAGATCCAAAACGTTTCTTGGCGGAGACTGATTTTGCGCAAGGTCACACTCCGTCATACGAGGGAATACACGGGTGTGTCAAAATGGTGTCACATGGACTCGCAGAATTTTTCAATATTGTAGTCTTTTCACCGAAACGTTATACGCTATACGGTGTTGCTTTCTTTTTCCGCATAGTAGATAAACAAGTCCGTTCGAGATTCGCTTCAGTCGCTTCAGAGGCAAAAATTTTCGACGCTGTGAAATGCATTCGTTCGCGGACCACCAGTTACCTCTTCTCTTCTTATAGATCTCTGGCGATCTTACAGATGAATTTCATTCATTCGTCTTGTTTCGAAAGAGCGGAAGGAGAAAGAGGTTCTTTCTCACCCATCAGACACCCATCAGTGGTACAATGGACGGTAACATCGTTTTTATTCCCTCATCAGGTAGGAACTCTTTTCGACGAAGAATCTCTCTTTTCCGTCAAAAAAGAATCTGATACTTGCGATGCAACCGTTCGGTCGATATTACGGTGTTAGAAAATGTGCTTTATTCTCGTTTATTTTCTAATTCACAAGTCACTTTTCCTGACGCTGTCGTATGAGAGAGAGAGAGAGAGAGAGAGAGAGAGAGAGAGAGAGAAAGAGAGTGAGAGAGAGAGAGAGAGAGAGAGAGAAACAGAGATTGACAAACATTCTTCTCTCTTCTCTTACTCCAAATATATATTCTCGCTTAATAAATGGACATTACGACAAATCGTTCCGCTCTGTCGCTTCTACTTTGATGAAACAGAAAGAGGGAAAGAGAGAGGGAGAGCTCTTTCATTTTTAAAAATTGTTGCATCTGCGAGCACAGCGATACATCTTTCCGCAAACCGACGTCTTCGCGGTCCGATTGTGTCTGCTGAAAATATAAGTATCGTATCACATCTGCTGTATCCTTATCCATAGACGCGCGATATGGTAGAAAATCCACGGTAATATCGGGCACGGAAACATTCGATAGAAGGCACACGGTGGAAGAATCCCCAATAGCACGTGCGGCGACTCGCGCGTCGCGTCACGTGCGAGCGACTGAGGCACACCACGCGCGATTCTCGACGTTCGCGTTCGATACGCGCGGCTGCCGTGTACTTTCGAATAACGGGTACTGCTAGCTGCTGCTGCTGCTGCTGTTACCGCTGTTACCGCTGTTACGAGAGAGAGAACACCGCGAGAGGAAAACGTACGTCGGTCGTACGTCGACCAGCACTGCCGCTGCCGCGGCTATGGCCGCGACCAGAGAGTCTAGCGTCCGACGCGATTGGAATCGTTGTATGAGGAGGAGGAGGAGAAGGTCCTTCGCACCTTTCATAAAGTGGGAGACAAGAGTCGAGGAAATATTGTATGCTTCCTCTCTTCTTTTGCAAAATGAGAGAGAGAGGGGGGGGAGGGGGGAGAGACAGAGGAGTCCGTCGATGTGAACAGGATGAAGAAGAGGGAAGAATCATCGCCACTTTCGTTTTACGGGACTTGAAATCGCGTATCTTGCGCTTCTCACGAGACGGATGACGCGGCGCGCGCGTCAGATACAGTTGTAGTCACAGTTATGACACAGACTAAATCGAGGAAAGCAACAACAGCGATATATTGTGTTCGACTTGGATTGACAATTTTATTTCCGCACGCAAATACGCATTTGCCTTTGCGTATAACATGAACCGAGCACAAAATCCAACGTCTCCGTACCAAATGAATGATCCCGATCAATATTATCGTGCATTCATCCCTTTCTATAATATATCTATAATACGTATAATACATCATATCTTTACAATGTACACCTATGTCGGAGTAATTTTAACTAACATTAAGCTCAAACTTGCGTAACTTGTCGCGTTCACATTGGTCAGATTTGTAATTGACAGCGTTTCTCTTGTCTCGAATGATACGCAAAATTCGCAAACAAATAGCGGAGAAAACACACGTTCGCGACTCGTCCTTAAATTCCAAAGGATTGGAAATCCAACTGTTCATCATTTATTCATTTCCCATCGCCTCTCTGGGCGGTATCGCCCAAAGAGTATTTATGCGGTATTCTGTGGTCTTTCTCTATGAAAGAAAGAAACGACACTGTCTCTTCAGAACAGCGAAAGCTGCTCACGAATGCTCCTCGACAGAGACAATTTGTCACTTCTTCTTAGAGCCAAAACCGGAGAATCCCATGATCGCGATCATTTCGTCGGAAGGACCGGCATCGTCCTCAGTGAGTTCCTCGATCTTTCTCTTCTTGTCCTTTCTCTTCTCTTTTCTATACTCTTTGATCTTTTCTTCCTATTGTATAATAAAAGAGTAACTTTATTAAAAAGTTATATATGAAATGAGCATAACTGAACAAAGGGATAATCGTCTCAAACACTGGCTCAGCGATCGAAGGAAAACGTACCTCTTCTTTGAGCTCTTTTACCCTCTGTTCCAAATCGTAATCCTTCTTTTTCTCTTCAAGTTTCTTCTTATTCTGTGCAAATCTAGCTTTGACCTGCTCCAATGTGGATCTCTCTATCTTCATAGACATACCCAGATTACGTTGATCTGTGGATAATTACAAATTGAGACATCAATGAGATGACAGTTTAATTTTATTTCTAAATGTTGTTTAAAAGTGTACTAAAAACTTCAACTTACGTTTTGTCCCATTGATGTGGTCCAAGAAATTGATGGAATCTTTAACAACACAGTCACAGACATTGCAATAGTATCTGTAAGTAGAAATATAACAGTGATAATATATCATTAGAGGGATTTGTCCAAGTAACAATTTCTTTTTACAGAGTTGAAGACAGATCAATATTTTGTAAAAGATGATTGACTTTGATCATCTACGATTGCTTCAATTACTGGTAACCATAGATCATATAAATGAAATCTTGCAGAAAATTGTAAGTATATACTTTGTGTACTTTGAAACAAATATATGCACGTGCGCATATACGCACACGCACACATACACACACACATACACACGCGCGAGCATATGCATACAAATATTAAATTGAACTAATCGTACCCTCCAGTTTGCGAAGACGGTGTATTTTTATTGATAACTACACTCTTTCCCAATTTCGATTCGAGATCTACTTTATAATCTCTCTGTTTTAGCAACTCTCTCTTAACTGCTGGTTGCTTAGGAATACCCAATTCCTCTTCTGCAATCTCATCTTGAAGCCTTTGAAGAGCAATTCTTTCGTATTCTTCCCGATTCCATTTTCTCCTGTGGTCATCAGGTCTCTGTGGAAGATTGTTTCATTGTAAAAATGCATCCAAAAAATCCAACAAATATATTGATATCAAGAATGATAAGATTCGATTGTTTGCAGTACAATGTATATCCATCTCGTAACCTAAATTTTGTCTTTCTATTGCTCAATGATATTCAACAAAATAATAACCATGTTGGAACCGTGTAATTCTTTATTAAGCAAAATAGAGAACGAAATTGAGGAAACGCAGTATAAAATTGGTTTTAATGTACAGAAATAATACGAAATAAACGTTGAAGTTATATATTAGACGACTGTTTGCATAACATATAATCCCGTAAACCGAACGATTGAGGTTAAGAAATTGGGAGTCACGCAGATATAACTTGTAATTATATATATGTATATATATATATATATAATTACAAGTTATATTTTACAAGTTTATATATATATATATATATTAATTAAATATTGAAAATTGCACGTAATCGATATTTGTATAGAAAATTTTACAAACAGATACATACACGCACGCACGCACGCACGCACGCCTACACAAATACAAAATATATTTTAAAAACGCAAATAATTACCGTAGACATCCTTGCTCTATTATTACGACGCCTTTATCAAGATGTATAACCAGAGTAAATAAATCGTTGCGTTTATTCATTCATTCATTCAATATATGGCTCTGAGTAGTTATTACAATCCTTCTCCTACGCCAATTACAACGATTTTGAAAATAAAAGAGAAACAGGGACAATGCGTACGCAGTCCCCAAGATCAAAAATATACGTAGTTATAGGAACCGCATCCAACCGCCACGGAGGCGAACAAAAGACTATATCGTTGTGTTTAATTAAAGCAGAGAAATCTGAAAGCGGCCACTGAGCCAGATTCTAAGGGAAATTTCTTTCGGACGCGTCCTCTGAGAAAGTACTTGCAAACCAGAGAGAAGAAGGAGAGAGGTCACGGGCCGCTTTTAGCCGAGCCCAGTGTGAAGCGCCCTCTGTACAACCGTGCACATGAACTACGATGCCAATGTCCACAACTCTTTTCTGATTTACATTATGGTACAGGACTTTTTTGTTCTTCTCACTTAGCTCTATATCCCTACGGAGCCCGTGTCCCAAAGTTCTGAGACACCCTGTATATATATATATATATATATACAGGGTGTCCGGAATGTGATCATTAATATTTTGTGTACTGGTAGAACTCGTTAAAACAATTAAAAAAGTCCTGTGCCATTTCACAATTTTTTCAATATTTATTCCGTAATTAATTAAAATGTGTAAACGAATGAGCGCACGAGAAAGCGACAGGACGGGCACTGTGTATAAGAAGATGGCTTACCTCGCGCGGCGAGAGGCAACCGTAAGCGACAAGAGGCGTGCGCGCGCGACAAGGAGCGAGCGAGCGAGCGCGAACGACGAGCGAGCGAGCGCAAGTGACAAGGGCTCTCTACGCGCTCATTGGCTCACATGTTTCAATTAATAACTCGATAACTATTGCCAATTTGACATTATGGTACATGACTTTTCTTCTCTGTCACACCCAATCTACCAGTACACAAAATATTAATGATCACATTTCGGACACCCTGTATATATAAATTTTATATATATACATACAAATGTATTACATACATACAAACGATATACGTACAAATGTATATTAATTAAAATGTACATGCAATAAATACTAATTATATATAATATATACCTCTTTTTGAATTGTGTGTCCATGCTCCTTCATAAAACGTAGAAAAGGCTGTTTGTATAATGAATTGGCTGTTGTATAATGAATTTATCTTCCTATTCTTCTGTAATATATATATATATATATTTATTTATTTATTCGTAAGAGTTAAAAAAACATAAATTAAAAAAAAATAACAAAACACAGCTGGGCGCGAACACGCAACCTGGCGAGTGCCAGCACCGTGCCCAGTCTGCTGCCCTGCGCCGTCAATTGGAAATAATTCTGCAAATATGTTAGAATAACGGAGGATACTTAAAATCGCGAAATTTCAATTTGTAATTTCTCCCAAATGCTTGAATGTTGCATCGTCTCCTGTTAACAGTATCTTTTGCTGGACCTATGCTACATTTCTGCTAAAACTCGTCAAAATCAGTGACCTCAAGTTTGGCAGTAGCTCTTGTCAGATTATAGCCGCAGACTTCTATATACTAACTAGACCGCTGACTTCTGGCAAAACGTGTCGCAAGTGGAGGGGGTGTATGCCGCCATGATGAAGGTACCAGTACTCACACTAACAGAAATCACACGGACAGTCACTACTGAAGTCAATATTAGATATTTTAATTGAAATTTAATATATGTAGAAAAATCAAATGAAATAAAGAGAAATATGGAAAGAAATGTGTAATTCTTTTCTTTATTATAAGGAAACATTGTGAAATGTATATGTATACACACGTGTGTGTGTGTGTGTGTAAAGTTTACTTAATTTATTAACTATTTTCACATATTTATATATGCCGAAAAAGGAAAAATTGATATAAATTCAGATGAGATTGAATAAAAAAGATCATATGTGTAATGAAGTAGAACCTTTTATATATTTACTTGTTTTTTATTTTTAAACATTATTTCATAACATGTATTTCAACCTTGCATATATAAAATATATATATACATAACATGAACACATATAATATACTTATCAGTCAATATTAATGCAGATTTTATTAGCTCAGTCTGCATTATTGATGTCATATTGCTTTTAAAAAAATAGCCAATAGGCCACTTCCACTTTCCATTAAGACTAACAAGCATAAACATCAATGCCTCGGTTGCGATCTTGTCTTTGGAATCCATTTTTCCCAACGGTCCCATATTTCCATAATCAGGTATGCCTACCATTTGATGCTTATAATCATCCCATATCATTCGTTTTCTAAATGCCATGGCATCTAACACAAGATTACAATATCGATCATCTGTCGACAGTTTTCCTATCTCGGATAATACGTTTTCATGGAAGCCAGGCTCTGCATTAACTGACAATAGTAGCTTTCTCAAAGTTGATGGAGCAGGTAATCTGAACATTTTCCTGGAAAATATGTAATATTTTACTAAAAAAATATATATATAGAGTTTGCACTAATAATGAACATTAACATTATTTCATTGTAACATATACAAGATGCAATTATTAAGCAATAAAAATATGATCCCATTTTATATTAAAATTGCAGCATTGTTTTCAACTTCACATCAACAATTTGCTTCACCACAGTTTTTTTTTTCTATGAATAACAGTAACAAATTATTTTTTCATAAATACATGTAATATCAACAATGCAATAAACACAATACCAAGTTTTATTACCATTCACCAGTTACAAGTTAGTTAAATATTTAACTTTAAAAATTTTTAAATTTAACATCTAGTTAAATTGCACACCACGCAAGATTTTATAAGGAGAGTTTAAAAATATTTTATAATAGTATGAGCTATTTGCATTGAAGAACAGAACAGGATATTGAAGAAACGAGTTAAAAGCAGAAAATGTTAATAATTAGTTATTTTTTATGAAAAACAGGTTATTTAATAAAATAAAACTTATGCCCATGCAGCATACAATGTTCTAAGAACGTCTTAAAGAACATACTTAGAATCTTGGAACATCATTAAGACGTTTGTAGAAAGTATCTGTGTTGTTTTAATGTATCTGTAACGGACAATAAGGACATTAAAAAAGAAGGGAAAAAGAAAACCTATTACCTACAAAATGCATAACCTTTTGGTGATGAAAAATACAAGGATAAAGCAAACTCTTTCACCTCGTCTGTATAACGTTCACCTTTACTTTTGCGCTTCTGGTTTTTACTTCATTTTGCATAATTTAGAACATAACACCACCAAAGTGTTCTTTTAGTAATTACAAACTGTCATTATCCATGATTTGCTTTTGTTGTAATTCATTAAGCAATGTTTCCATTGAACTGATCTTTTTATCACGTCTCTGCAACTTCCATTTCAATGTTCTATTTTCGTTTTGTAATTTCTTTAAACTTTTAGATTGAACCATCTCCTCAATAGATGTTTCTTCCTCTGAGTCTGTATTTGTTGAGTTGCTTCTAATATTTTGTGTATCGGATATAATGGAATATTTTCCTGGTTTCATTTCAACAGCTATCTGTTTTGTATTCAGGTGTATAACTCTTTTTTCGATAGGTGTATGTGATAATTACATTAAATTTGTGCTCTTTATAGCAGCTTCGTTATCAATATAATTATGATCAATACTGTCAGTCAAGATACTGGTTTTACTATTTTCAATACTGAAAACTTCTTTTAGATTTAACAATGTGTTACACTGCTCATTTTCTTCATTATTTGAAGACTGGCCTCTTGGTACCGCATCTGGACGTAAAATTACACGAGTATATCCCATACCTGCTGTAACATCATTTTTGCTAAAATGCAAACTACATATTTTGCTGTTCTTCCAATTTGTTGGCTTCCAATTTGATTTTTTAACTACAGCTATCCATTTATGAGGACGATTTTCATCTTTTAAGGGAAACCTGTAATATTAAAAGTACAAGATACTATTCGACAAATGACACTATATATCCTGTTATTATCCTGAACAGTGTTATAAATGTTTTTTACATGGTTACTACAATATTGTACAGATAATTTAAATGATACTTGCATCCTTCACTTGTGCTTTTCTTTCTAAATATAAAGAAGATTTCATCTTTACTCATTATTCTTATAAAAGCAGCTCTTCATTTAATCTAACCAAAATAATATGTTTCAATAAACAAATACTATACGTACCCAAACAAATGTACACCACTTTTCGATTTCCATTTCATATTACAATTTCTCACACAGCACTGTTTTCCCATCACTTTTTCTTTTCATTACTTTTTCTTCTAACCTCTTTGATCTTCTGTATTTCTTCACTTTATCCATATGACTAGAGTAGTCTATAATGAAACACGTGACACATCACAGATATTACAAATTCACACGCACTCTCAATATGGCGTCTTCACACCACTATCACCCCATCGCCAGAAGTCAGCGGTCTAGTTAGTATATAGAAGTCTGTGATTATAGCCCAGAAAGAATTAGCCTCGCTAAGGGTTTACCAATCAGAAGCGAGATTCAGTGGAAAATCTAGTAATGTTGTCCAACTGTTGAGTCTGCTGAATGCACCCATTGGCTGCGTTCAGAAAACACAACGGTTATGCAACGGTTGAGTAATTCGTCAACGTTATTGGTCTGAATGTAAGGATCTAACAGTAAGGACCAATAGTTACTAAACGCTCAGTGAGCGCTTTGTTTTCTGAACGCAACCATTGTATCATTAGGCCTGTTCGTTTTGTCTGCACTGCTGAACTGGTGCATTAAGTTAAAGTGAGACAAACGTAGATTCTCTCACATCAACTTGGTGCACCAGTTCAGCAGTGCAGACAAAACGAACAGGCCTATTGCTAGAAGTTGTCTGTGCGGTTTTGAAATATTTTTTCTGAATCGCAGATGGCGCATTGCGTAAAAATATGCACGCATTTTCTCAAGGGGCGCGTCGGAAAAAAACATCTGGGGTATCGGCCTAATGGCCATTCTTCAGGCTCTTCTCTGGTGTATACGCATAGTAATAGCATAAGCCCGCCTCGACCAATGAGCATCTAAGTAAAGGTTGCCATGTTGATTTACGGAGCAAACTACTTACTTTTTCCTAGACGCTCATTGGTCGAGACTATCTTATCAAGAGGCACGGTAGTGCCTATTATTACGCGAAACTGCGAGTTGAAACGAGGTGAGATATTCATATCTCAGGAATGGCTGAATTCTATACACATGCATCTATGTCATTTTGGCTGTGTTCCAATATTCACTGCCAGCACTGAAAATCTATAATATACGTGACACAAATTATGTATTTTCAGTACTAGCAGTGAATTTTGGAACACAGCTTTTGTGTGCGATAATCCTTACCTTGTGTGATGAAAGCGCTCCCGTGGGCGCAAAATATGTATTTCGGACTACGTATCCAAGTTTCTCAGTGTATAATATAAAAGTATTATGGTTCTGTTCCATGCTATATTTTCACATTCATTTTTACAGAGAATGCTTCGAAAAGAGGCTTCCAAGAAATTCTTACAGTATGGTCGCTCTTAAGTTTTTCTCGGGTGATGTATGTATGTACATACATACATACACACAAGTACTTTTGATCAATTGTTATTTGATTTTGAATTTTAATTGAACGTCATGTGACGCATATGGTGTTCAAAGATGCGGTAATCAGTTCTCTTCCACATCGTACAGCTCACAGAGGTAAGGTTGTGACTCATGTTACTCATGGTAGGCCAGTGCTAGATAGATTCGCTAATAACCTGAAAAGGTTAATCGGTAAGTGAATATTATTTCAGTGTGTGACACGGATGATACGATTCGTTGCGTCATGATAGAACGACGATTAATGCGGCAAGTAAATATATAGTAAATGCGGATTGAGAAGACTCGAGAGAAATACGCGCGTGTGAGAGCAACTATGCCTTCAGAGATGAGATCGATCGACAGAAGTGATTGGATCACAGTGGCTGTTTTGTGTTTTGTAAATCTTATAAATTATATGGATCGCTTTACAATTGCTGGTAAGTTATATTTTATGATACAATAACAAATGCATACGCTTATACGTATATTTAGGAAATTCGAGACATTGCTCAACGAAACATTCAAGAAATTAATATTCGATATATCAATGAGCAAATTTTTCATCTCAGGTATCTTGAACGATATTAAACATGACTTTGATATTACCAACGATAAGTCAGGATTACTACAAACTGCATTCATTTTGAGTTATATGGTATTTGCACCATTATTTGGATACTTGGGAGATCGTTACAATAGAAAATTTATTATGAGCAGTGGAGTATTTTTATGGTGTCTAACAACGTTGATGGGTTCTTATATGAAAGTAAGTATAATTTTTATGATATATCACATACTTCACACATACACGTGTGTGTGTGTGTGTGTGTGTGTGTGGCGCGAATGCACATGTGCATACATGTGTGTGTATATGTGTATGTATATAAAGCTAGCTATATATGTTTAATTTATTTCAGACATTTGGATGGTTCCTGTTTTTCAGGACACTTGTTGGTATAGGAGAGGCAAGTTACTCCACAATTGCTCCAACCATAATTAGTGATTTATTCGTGAAAGATGTGCGTTCAAAAATGCTTGCCCTTTTTTACTTTGCTATTCCAGTTGGAAGGTACACGGATGATTTCATTTATCTACCTTATTAAATGCGTTGAGATATATACATATATATATATTTATTTATTTATTTATTTACTTAACTACTTATTTATCTTATATATGAGGTTGTACATGTGCACATCTCTACAAGTTACGTGTGGTTTTAGCGGTTTAGGATATATTACGGGAGGTGAAACAGCCCGTATTACTGGCCACTGGCAATGGGGATTACGTATTACTCCTGTATTAGGTGTTGTAGCAATTCTTCTATTACTCACTGTTGTAAAAAATCCCATCAGAGGTGAACGAGAAGGTGGTGTTCATTTGACAAGTACCACATGGTCGTACGATATAAAGCAGTTATCAAAAAAGTATTTATCGATAACATTACTTTTATTATTGTAATCGTAAGAATTTCTGCGATTGGATTTCTTGCGAATCGATCCTTTTTATATACCAAAATCTCTTTTTCTTTCTCTCTTACAGCGATATTCTGTATTTTTATCTATCGTTTCAAGTTGTTGTATTGTGCATCTTTTTTTTTTTTGGGATAAGACGAAGCACAAGTTCCGTGTTTATCTCTAAAAATTATATTGTTTTCAGAATGTTTCAGTAGTACCATTGATATATTATTGACATGATTTTCAGTCCAAGCTTTATGCTCTCTACCGCAGGATTTACTTGCGTGGCATTTGTCGCTGGTGCATTGGCATGGTGGGCACCGACATATTTACAACTAGGTTTCCAATTACATTCTGACAACACAGATGTTAATCCGGATGAGTACGTTTCTCAATATTATATGTCATTGTAGCGTGCATTAGATAAAGATTTTGTACAGACGATATACATAATGCCTTAAAACTTGTATATATAAATTTATGTACTGTAATGTTCCAGTGTCGCATATAAATTCGGATTGATCGGCATGGCATCTGGCTTAATAGGAGTACCCTTAGGTTCGACATTAGCACAAAAGTTACGATCTCATTGGCAGCAAGCTGATCCTCTGATTTGCGCTACTGGTCTTCTAATAAGCGCGCCTTTATTATTCTTCGCTATGATTACTGCCAATACAAATTCCGTTCTCTGTTACACGTTGATATTTTTCGGTCAGTTGTCGTTGAATTTGAATTGGTCTATCGTAGCAGACATGTTGTTGGTAAGTAGCTTGTACAAAACGCAAAAGTGCAACAGACAACATTAGACAAACAGACAGTTATATCTCTCGTAACTTTCTCTTATTCGCTTCGATAAATTGAATCGTGTCTGTTGTTGTTTCGCAGTATGTGGTAGTTCCTACAAGGAGATCTACGGCGGAGGCATTCCAAATACTTATCGCTCATGCATTCGGAGACGCGGGCAGCCCCTATCTTATTGGACTCGTATGTAGAGACAATTTGTTCAATTTTCCGATTCCTCAATACCTAATCCAGACTTACCCGAGATACCGGAGATTTTATCGGGATACTGTACGGCAGAGTACAGTAGAGATACGGAGATTTTATCGGGGTATGTACGTTTTTTTGTACACGTCACATATGTACAACCCAGTACAGCAGAGCTGGACACGATCTGCGCATTTCGGACGAAATGCGCAGATCGTGTCCAGCTCTGCTGTACGGGGTTGTACATATGTGACGTGTACAAAAGAACGTACATACAGATGTCCGAAACTTGAGTCACTCCAATCCATTTGGTAAACTATCCATTGATGGGTAAATTCCTGAGAACATTCGGGTCCTTTCGCGATTGATCTTTGAAAACATTGGTGCTCGAACGCTTTCAATTTTTTCCATCGCGTTCTGGCCACTTTCAAGTATCAGGATTTTTCTTTCAAAACGTCTCGGATGGTTTGCCGTTAACACATGGTCATTGAGGAGTTTCATTCATTCAGGGCACCCTGTTGTAACTTGTTATTTTTAAATATCATACGATATGCTTGTTTTACGAGTTGTTGTCTCTCTTTACCCGATGTTCCTTTTAGATATCCGAAGGTTTGAAGTCCCTATATCTGCCGAATTTGCCTATAAGAGATCAAGAGCAATCTGGTGTTTACGATGGTCAGAATATAAGCGTCGAATTCCGTAGCCTACAATATGCAATGTTTCTTACAATGTTCGTAGAAGTAATAGGTGCTCTATTTTTCTTCCTGACAGCATTGCATATACAGCAAGACAAAGCATTGGTTGATCTTGCTATCGCGGGTAAGTAACAAATTGTGACTAGCATTGAATCGTAGTTGATGCGTAGGTGACATATTTTATCTTGTATATGCATATTATTACTAATCAGCTTTACGCTTGACGTCAAAAGGTGCACGCACACACACACACACACACACGCACGCACAAAAGCACGCACGCACGCACGCACGCATGCATGCACACACGCACGCACGCACGCACGCACGCACGCACGCACGCACGCACGCACATTTAGACGTGATTAACGTGTGGTCATTTTTTAGATGTAAGATTATCAAAAGTTTCACAATCACACATCGCGTGCCAGCACGCATCACTTCTTTTTTTGTTCGACTCAGTTTTTATATTATACTATTATCTTCTCTTCATCCTAATTGATTTTTATTGTCCGCATGATATTTAGTTGCCGTTTATTGAAACAATCAACATTTACGTATAAATGTTGAGAAAGAGGATGTGTAGGAACTTTGAAACGTCTCTGCATCTGACAAGTGGCTCGAGTTATCCAAGTAAACTTAGTCATCAGAATGACTTTTTACACGTATAATGTTAAAGTCGCTATTATTGAATATAAAAGATGTAATGTATATCCTGTCGAAATATGGGAGAAATTAAATCCAAAAATGTGATGATTGTCATATAAAAAGTGCCGATTGTGAAATTAAAAGTGACGAAAACGTTACGAAGTAATATCTTATCAAGAGAAGATGACGTATTACTTTTTAACATTATTGCACATATTAATATCGTCGTGTTAACAATGTAAGATACGTAACATACGTGTATGATTTCTGTAGTCTAGATCTGGTTGGAATGTGAAGTAAAAATTTGCAACTTTTCTAAAACATTGTATTTTTGCACAGTGCATGAATTGTTCTCAACTTTGGACTTAGAAGCACGAGTTTTGGGATCAAAAGGAAGGTAGTATGATAATTCACGATAATTTTTTAGCATATTAAGTGCTAAATAAGTCCCTGCGTATTACACCGAGTGCATTTTATGGGGTATAAAGGCAGGATACAAGATACCGTCGAATAATGTTTCGACTTTGCGAATCCATATTCGTAAAATTGGTATCAAACATTTAGTCTTTAAGAGATTGCAAGGATAATGATGAAAGAAAAGAAATATTTATAATCACAACTGTTGTTATCGATTTATGAAATCGAAAAGAAAAATATGAACTTGTCAAGTTAATACTCGAGCAGAATGAATCAATTTCGTTTCCGTATAAAAAAGTATCTTTCTTTTTACACTACTTTTACAACCACTTTCACACAGTGGTTTGAGATGTTTGGAGCGTCAAATGAAATCATATAAAAACTCAATATTTAAAAAAATTTTTTAATTATTTTTCATGTTATTGCTTTCTCTTAAATTTGACTCGGTTTTCGTGGCCTTAAACTCATCAACGACGATGTTGTTTGCATTTGTTCCTTTTATTATCGTAATATATAGCGATATAAGGAATTGCGGTTCAAGGTCATCATCATTAATTTTAATATACCTAGCAGTGGTTTCAAATCTTTATTTTATATTCCAGCAATGGAGAAATAGGGTAACGCATTTATCTTTAAATAAAATCTGTTTTAACTTCAAATGCACGGCATTTTAATAAATGCGGTAGCTTTGTCACGTTAGTTTTATCACGAATTTTATCATTTCACATACGTGAGATGTGAGACATAGATGAATCGACGCAATCATTACTACGGAATTTACACACGTTCTCGCACAATGTATAACGTTTACTACAATTGTTCGTAATATCGTTGTGCTGTTTTGTTGGAAGAGTATATAAAACTATTTCATTGAGAAAATTTTTTCTCGTTATGTCGTTCAGTTAGCACCGGAGGTGCCGTTGGTAAACGAGGATAGAGGTTGAAAAGGAAAATAATAAAGTTTGCGTTAAACCTTTGCAGAAACAGATTTTATTTATCGCAGCCTGTATATGGCGTACATAACACGCGGTCTAATCAGGAATGTGCATGCAGTTACTTTTATATAACATATCAACATATCTTTCTTGCAGACAAATGTCTAGATACTAAGAATAATGGGCAAGCTGAATCAACGCATTTATAGATCATCACTGGGCTTCATCTGATAGTGCGCTGTATATCCGGTACATAATTTATTTTCACGATTTCATTATCTTTTGTTGTTTCTTTTTTGTTCCCTACAATTTGGCGATCAGTTTCATCGTACTTGGTTTTGTACATAAGATAGCGCAGTTTTTATACATATATACATATATATATATATTATACTTATGTTTGTCGTAATATAAAGAAAAATATACACACATATACACTATTTAAAAGATATTTCAGTTTGTCATATTTTTTCTTTTTAATTGTGTAAAGTCGCTATATATATATACATACACACACACACACACACACACACACACACACACACACACACACACACACACACATATATACATATAAACATATATAATATTTGTGTTTTGTCGTAACATAGTTATAAAAAAAAAAAACAAAACACGCATACACCATTGGAAAGATATTTAAGTTTGTCAAATGTTTTCTCTTTCATATCGTATGTAAAATCGTGAGTACACGGAATGAAACTTACATTGTCTAACAAACAATGCACTATTTTTATATATTACATATTATATACTAGTACACGCGTGATTTTAATCAGTACGATAGCCTTCTTGAATAATTTCAAATGGATTTCTTCGGTTGGGAATTTTGCGCGGGTCATATTCTGAACCTAAAATAAATTATTATTATTATCTACTACAGTTTTCCAAATCTACGACAGAAAGATAACAATCGAGGTACGTTTGTTTCGGATGTCTTAAAATAGTTGAAAATGAAGAGGACAGTGCCACAATTTTCATTTCTTTTTCTAAAACTTATGAAGATAAAAAGTGTCGCGACCTTTCTACGATATCATCGACGATATAATTAATAAATCGTACGATACATGTACCGTGTGGAGCATACGTAGAGAAATGTTGATTTAGATCCTCATCGGTAAATTAATGACGAATATAATTAATAACGATGTAATTAATAATGTAATTAATGACGAATCAGTAATCAGTGATCACGTAAAGTGGGATGCGAAGAGAAGATTGGAGAGGAGGGAGGACATTACCAAGCATGCCTGTGGTAAATCGGACCTAGAAATGTGATGAAAAAGGGAATCATACTCGCGCGACTCTTGCGATTATCTTTCGGCTTGATCATAACTATACAGATATAGTATAGATACGATAGTGTGTGATGTGTATATATATGTGTGTAAACACACACACGCACACACCCACACACTCACACCCACACCCACACCCAAACCCACACCCACAACCTCACGCACCCACACCCAAACCCACACCCACAACCTCACGCACCCACACCCGCACCCACACCCACATCCCCCCCACACATACACGTCTGTAAAGTAAGAGCATGTACGGGTTAATGTGTAGAAAAATTTATTTTTAATGATTTTTAAGTACATGGATTTGTTGTACTCTATGAGAAGAAAAACGCTATACCATTAATAATGAGTCCAGTCACCACCGGCATTGATAATTGCCTGGCATCTCCGAGGCATAGTTTCCACTAAGTTGACTGCGTATTCGTTCGGTGAAGACCTCCAAATGAGACGAATTTGTCGTGTCAGCTGCTTCAAAGTGCACACTCTTTTTCCTCGAAGCTTGTGCTTGAGATATGCCTCACAATATGGCTAAAATAAAAACTAGGACGATATTTGAAGCCAACTGCCATTTATGCCGTACACGCTCTTACTTTACAGACTGTATATACGCGGGCTATCGTCGTCGGGCTGTATCGTGTGGATGTGACATAATCGACTGAAAATCGAACCTTCCGATCGATCCAATATATAGATTTAGTTTGAAGTGACGTAGAATGTGTTTTTAAAACTAATGAAGCTTGCCTAAAATGCTTTATATGGAATGTAACACAATTGATTAGTTGGTAAAATTTTGAAAATGTGAGACAGGTATGGCATATAATGTTGCATGTACATCGTTGAGAAGTCGAATTGTAACGGGGGTAACGGGATAAGGAATTTATAATCAAGTTAGTCTTCTTTTAAAATATGTACATTACAATTTTATACATCATATTGGTCTCCTCATTTTTACTTAACAAAAATATCGAATATAGAAATGTACACACGCAACGCACGAACGCACACGCACACGCATATGTATACACACGCCGCACGCACGCGCACACATACGCACACACACGTGCACGCTATACAGTAATATGCAGCTATGTATTAGTGTTTTCTGTGTGTGTGTGTGTGTGTGTGTGTGTGTGTGTGTGTGTGTGTGTGTGTGTGTATGTGTGTGTATACACGGGATGAAGCAAATAAGAATTACTACGTTCAAGAATATCTTTGAGATTACGAAAGTTTCGGAGAGAGAAATTTGTCAAATATCGCACAGTATGGAGATACCTCTGTCTTATGTCGATAATAAACGTCTTACAGGTGAAGGTTTGAAGAAAGTATCAATGAAAAATGAACTGTTTTTTAAATAGAAGCATGAATCATCTTTCTTTTTAATAGATAAACGTAGATGATTCTGCATATGAAAACGCCAAAATAAAACGATGACAAAACGTGCCGCCTTTCGGCCGAGTTATTCGGCTGAGAAAATTTGACCTTGTATCTCGAACGTAAATAACGAGACGTTTGGTAACGCATTTATATTCGAGTCGTCTCGTCCACATGCTACGAATACGTAGATTGACGAGGAGAATTCACGCAAGAATATACGTATGCAAAGGAAAATATATGTAGCATTCGAAGCGGTCGAGCGTTGGTTAGTAATTTTGATGCTTTGACTCACACGAGCCAGAGTCGAGTATCTTTTGCGAAAGGAGTTTGTCTCGCGAAGCACTTTTCTTTGGAAAAGAAAGAAACTTGAAGCTGCCGAAACACAAGCTCGCAGAAGTACTAAAGTTTGTTCGATACACTCGATTTCAGCGCAATATCTGCTACTACGCGCACATACGCGTATCGTACGGTAAGAACAAGATGTTGCGTCAATCGTCGAAGCGCTGTTTAGAACGATAATATTTATAGCACTGTGTTACGGACACAAGAAAAACAAGAGGGCCTGAAATAGTTGCGGATGTACAAGTAGTTGTACGGTTCTAATGTTTTTTTATCCAGTCGGCCGAGTTATTGAAAATTAGTAGCAGCACACACAACAAACTGGTCGATTATTTCGCTCAGACGCATGTACGAGTTGACGATACTAACGGTTGGCTTTGCTTTCAGGTGGCAGCATTTCAGACTCGATATGTATATGCAACGATGCAGTTGACAGCGAATTACAGAACGATCGGAATACAATATTAGAAATAAATAGGCATCACGCGGAAACATCCGATTAGAGCGACAGGTTCGAGCGAACCTATAAGCAGCTATTCGAACGGCCACACTGTAACGTTGTCAGAAATATAAGTTTTATTTTAAGTACGTTTAAAGTGTACAGTGTCATACGATACACAAGTGTGTGTGATTGAACTGAAAACATGTGTAAGTGAAACATAAAATGTACAGAGAAAGAAAATTGATGTATACTTAATTACGCGGAGGATCATTCTATACACACACACACACACACATACACACACAACATAGGATAATGCAGCAGAGAGCGTTACACACAGCGAGCGAAGCTCGTCGCGGAGGAGAGTTTTCCTCAGGGAGATGGTTGCGAGTTACCTCAAGTGTGGATGAATAGTGCAGAAAGTCGCAAGTCGCAAGTAATAACAGTTTGAACAGTAGAATACGAACGAGAAGAAAAGTAATATTTTTACAATCGTTGTTGAAAGTGACGCGGTGTATCACGTGGACATTATGAGGGAATAGGTGAAAATTGTACAAAGAATACATGTAGCGAGGGAGAGGGACACAAAGGAAGGAAGAAAGCTAGAAAACAGACAGAATCGCAGAATAATAATCAGGCGATTTAGGTATAATAGAATAAATTGTAGAATCATAAGGTGTCCCATCGTTATGCCCATCGTTGAGTGTAAATTGTAAGAGGAAGAAGAGGAAGATGAAGAAGAAAAATAAAATATAAAAAATGACTTTTTACATAAATAACGTGTTTCGTATTATTGCGGGTACGCGTGCATCTCTATTGTTTCGATGCTTCGCTTCGAAAAGCTCAAGATACATACTATCGCGTCGCATAAGGGAATTTGACATCTCTGTAGGCGAAATGTAGCGTACGAGAAATGAATCCAAGTCTTACGGACTTGTTACGTATGGATGCGGTATGGCGATCAAGTCTATATACGGTCGCTTCTTCCTTTTTTTTTAGTAAAAAGCCTCTCGATATGTAATAAGTTTCCTTCACGATTGTCTCCGTTACAATAATAGAATCGTCTGATTTCGATTTTATCGAATTTTTTTTTCTGTTAGATTTTGTTTCTCTAACGGTTCTTTTGATATTTTATTATCGTTTTCTATATCCTTTAACACTTTCTCATTTGTCGTCGATTCTGAAATTTCGGTGATTGAAATTATGGGAACGAAATTATAGTGTTGCTCCCTTTGATCGTGCCCTTTCGGTTCCAGATTGGTTGTCATTGGTATGCTAGTTTCTTTCGGGTTGAACTGTCTATTCTTGTTTCCTTTGGTACGTATTCTCTGTGATGTTTTCTAACCCATTTTCGTACTTTTTGGTGTATCCTCTTGCTAGGATGCTCACGGTTTCCTCTTCTGGCGATTCTTCATTAGAGATATTAATTAGATGAATCCTCTTCCTTTTGGACTGTTTATACTTTTCCAGCTCTTTAGGTGTCCTATATTGTCCCTCTCGATTCCTAGGTCGTGGAATGGTTTTGATGTCCACATATGGCTCTCTACTCTTTTTCCATACTCTGGTAGATAATTCTATTGAGCTATCGGATTTCGTGCTCTTTCTCTCTTTTTTTGAACACTCTGCATACCACTTGCGGATGGTTGTCCTGTTTCTTTAATAAATGTCTCCATCAACCGTGGCTGTCGTCTTTCGTGAGACTCTGTCCACTTTTCTGTTTGGCCTTTCGTTTGAGCGATTATTCTTTTCATCGCTTCGTTCTTTACTTTTTGCTCCGCGGTTAGTTGCCTTATCCGCTGTAAATTTTTTTGCATTAGTCTTTTTAATTCTTTTTCCTCTCGGTTTCCTGCTCTCTCTTAGCTTCTGTGGTTAATTTCTCTAATTCTGCCAAGGAATCCGGAAAGTCTGGATCTCGCTTCGGATGTTTGCATTTTCTGTGTGGTTTATGGTCGCCCATGTTTGTAGTTTTGGGAATAAAATGATGTACTGAATTTCCCTGTTGATCATCTTTCTCATTTTGCGATGCGGTGAGTTTCAGGTTGTTGTCACTTATAATACATTCCCTACTTTCTATTGTATCAATTAGGTCACCATCACTGCCGCCTGAATCAGTTTTGCTTGTTGTATCGTTATCGTATGTATATGTTTGTGTTGTTTCGTTATATTCGTGTGGGATGTTGTCTGTTACTTTGTCGTTTAATATAAAAAATGAATTTGTGTTTCTTTCTTATTATCCCGCATTATTGATTCTACATTTATATTGTTGTTTCGCGAAACTAATTCGTTCAAGTTTTCTAAGTCTATTGTTTCGTCTGAATGTGTGGAGTCCCCGCTATTCTGGTAATATTTTGAATTTATTGAATCAGAGCTGCCCCCGCTATTTAGTAAATATCTTGAATTACTATTTACATTCTGAAAATTGTTCCCGCTATTTTGTATACCGCTATTTTGTATATTAAGTATATCCTGAATTATTAGAGTAGCCCCCGCTATTCCGTAGAACTTTAAAATTTTTCATGCTTTCCGTGACATTTAAACTTTCGGCTACTTTTTGATCTATTTGTGTTAATATTCCTTTCGGAAATTGTCTTAAATGACTTTCTATTGATTTAAATAAAGTTTGAAACGGTTGTAACCGGGCTGCGAGTCCTTTTCGATGGAAGATGCAGGTATTCTCAACATTTGAGTCGGACGCCACCCGTCCTTTGTGATTGCGTTCGGCGTGTTCTCCACAGGAATGGACGGGTCTCCTCAGGGAAATGAATTAGCGCCGCACGTACACTCAGAGGCAGGTATGGTGTCCCTCGGCGATGTCGTATACGCCTGTAAAACAATCGAAAGCCATGACAGGCATATACGCATATGCATATGGGCGTACTGTACAGCGCGAGAGAAGCGAAGAGGGAGAAGTGGTGGGAGACGTTCCGATGTTGCATCCTTATCGCACGTCGCACGATCGAGAGAGAAAGCATTACCAGACGTGGTACGGTTAATGGTGTCCCCAATAGCTGTCTCACTCTCTCTACGCTTGAATGCAGGCAATATGAGTGAGACAGCTATAGAGACACCGCGCTGTCTCTATAGGTGTCTCGCTCGCTCTAATAGCCATATATCGCGCTTTCCTCTTTTCTCCTTAGCAGAAATGCCGATCAAGGAGGCAATCCTGTCTATAGGCCAGAAAAATAAGCTATTTTCGCGAATTTTTTTTTTCGGAAACTAAGCAGACGATTGATTTCAAACTTGATAAAAATATTAATATATATTTTATTGATGAGAATGAATTTTTATAGCGTTATATGAATAATGATGTAGCAAATATACAAAAAATAACGTGACGTGTTTAGGCGCGCGCCGTTTCACGGTTCCTATAAAATCTCGAAATACGGTAGACTGGGACAAAAACGCAAGTAAAATAATTAATCTACGAACTTGCTGCTAACTGGTTTGAATTAAGGAAATAAAAAACGAACTACCCTTTTAATATTTTAAGGCATTTAAAAATTATATTTGAAAAATCGCCATAAATATCGATGATTTTACGTTAAGAATATTTTATTTGCAAGAAAACGATATTTCATGAAATTTACGAAAAAACTTATTTTATGCCGTAAGATATGTCAAATTGTGCAATTCTTTTTAGACGCAACATATCTTTACTTTTGAAAAGACTACGAGGAGGGAAAATAAATGCAACGTCTTCCTTAAAATGCTACTTAAAATATAGGCTCCGCTCTTGAAAATATAAAAAAAAATTAGGAGACATTTAATAATAATAAAAATTACAATAATAATAACGAGACGTTATATAGCATCTCCTGAAATCAGAGAAAAAACTTTTTTTTATATAAAAAAGTTTATCGATCGACTTCAGCATCTAATTACATATTCGAAATATGTCTATCTATCGTGTGAAATCTAGCGAAATCTAGCGAAATCTAGCGAAATAAAAAAATATTAATTTTTTATATGCACCGCGCTATCTCTATAGGTGTCTCATTCGCTGTAATAGCCATGTATCGCGCTTTTCTCTTTTATAACGCCATAAAAATTCATTCTCATCAATAAAATATATGTTATTATTTTTATCAAGTTTGAAATCAATCGTCTGCTTAGTTTCCGAAAAAAAAAATTCGCGAAAATAGCTTATTTTTCTGGCCTATAGACAGGATTGCCTCCTTGATCGGCATTTTTGCTAAGGAGAAAAGAGGAAAGCGCGATATATGGCTATTAGAGCGAGCGAGACACCTATAGAGACAGCGCGGTGTCTCTATAGCTGTCTCACTCATATTGCCTGCATTCAAGCGTAGAGAGAGTGAGACAGCTATTGGGGACACCATTAACCGTACCACGTCTGGTAATGCTTCCTCTCTCGATCGTGCGACGGGCAATAAGGATGCAACATCGGAACGTCTCCCACCACTTCTCCCTCTTCGCTTCTCTCGCGCTGTACAGTACGCCCATATGCATATGCGTATATGCCTGTCATCGCTTTCGATTGTTTTACAAGCGTATACGACATCGCCGAGGGACACCATACCTGCCTCTGAGTGTACACTCGTGATATAAAAGGTATATGCAACGATTTTTTATTGACTTCGGAACGCGTTCCAACTTGAGGAGAAAGAAAACCACTACTTCATACGTCAGCGCTGTCACTTATTACGAGAGCAGAAGGATGGCATATACGTAGTGTCAAATAAATGGTGATTGTGGCGTAGACACAAATGTCTTGGAGACTATTTTGAGTTATAATTGAAGAAATGAAGAAAACAAATAGTGATTGTGAAGAAAAGTGGCAAAAGGTTTCATAAAATTTGTAAAACGGAATTTAAAGGAGAGTATTAATTGTCTAATAATATTTTAAGTGAAGAATATTTTTAAATTTGAGTGTAAGTTAAAGAAGTTATAAACCATAATCTCTTTAATGTTAATAATTTTATAGCTATAAATTTGCCATCGACGTTAAATGAATATGTATGTAATGCTATCATTTATATAGGTGGAAAATTATGTTGTTGCTCTCATAAAAAATAAGCAGCAGACCAAGTCGAGTGATATTTTTTTAACAAGATACTCATATCACTCAACTTGGCCTGCTGCTTACTTCTGCTGCACACAATAATATAATTCCTCACCTACGCAAATAATAGCATTATATAATATATATATATATATATATATATTCATTCAACGTCGATGACAAATTTATAGCCTTAATTAACATTAAATATAAATTATTAAAATTATGGTTTATAACTTTTTTATCTTACACTCAAATTAAAAAATATGGTAATTATTCAGTTTAGGGGTTCCGCCTTAGAATTCGATAAAAATA